GCGGCCAGGGGTGAAGCTAAAGACGCCGAAGGTCGGCGCTAGCAGCGCAAGGGGAGGGAAAGTTCAACCCTGAGGTCCCCAAGGAGGTGAAGTCGCTGTAAGGACGGATAACTGGGCATGGGAAACTCCCCGGAGCGCAACGCCTCCGCTCGGGGCTGGCCGGGCCCCCTCCTGCTTCCCCCAAGCGGGGTTTCGCTGCTCCGGGAAGCGGGGCCGGGCCAGGCTATTTCTGTGTCTTACGAAACGCGGAGCGAGGCTGTTCCCGCGCAGGCGAGACGGCAGTCTGCAGCCCCGCCAGCACCGCGCTCCGCAGGGACTCGCGGCCCGACTAACACATACAAATCAGGAAAGGGGCACTTGGGTTCACCCCGTCGAACCAACATATTTTTCAGTCTGACAAAGCATTTTAATGGCAGTCTGGTAAGGATGTTGCTGTAGAGACAGTGCTGCCTGCGCAGCAAGCCAAAAGCTAGACCAAACTCAGCCCATTAAAAATGCATTTTGCTAGGCCCAAGCGAGGTGCTTTCAGAAGTGGTTTTACATAATCAGACAAAATAACGCGCTCTTCAGCTGCCCGCGCTGCCCTGCTCTCCGAGGAGGTGCGCGGTGGGCTAGGTGCGTGGTGCAGCTGCTGAGCTTGACTGGCAGCGTAGGAAAGGGGAGGACGGACTTGGGGAGGCCGTAATAGTGAATCCCGAAACTCTCTGTTCAGAGCTGTTTGAGTGCATTGCTCTCTGTAAACCACAGCTCCAGCTGTGGGGATAACCGACCTGGCTTTTTGCAAAATATATTTTAAAAACATGTTTGACTGACAGATATGAACCATGTAGACAGTATCATATCTGAATTCTGCAATGATTAAAATCACTGTATTTCTCTTTACTTGATTTTATGACACTGTTCTTTTGATTGTTTATGCAAAACAGAAAGCAAAAAAAAAAAAAAAACAACCCCAACCAGTATCTTGCACTGCTGCAGTGACCCCAGCGTCTCTAAGCTTGCCGCACGCATTAGTGAACCAAGCCTCAGAGCGGGAGTGACTCATCCCCGTTTTACAGCGGAACTGGTTTGCCCAAACCACACAACCAATCCGTAATGGAGCTGGGATCCCAGTCCAGACGGCCTGACCCCCTCCCTCTGGCCTAATCCTTCCACCTCGCTCCCCACCTGAAAGCGCTGCATTTCGCCTGAGCCTTCGGTGCCCCGTACGGGATTGCATTACTTTGGTCGTGAACTCGTCGGGGCAGGTTCACAACCAAAGCAACGCTACAAATATGTATCCCTGCAACACAGCGCTGCCTGGTTCTTCAGCTGGCTTAAGAAGAGGAACTTATTAACGGTATCAGAGAGAGATCAAAAATGTATCATTACTGTTCCCTGAACTGAAGTATTGCCGTGGTTTCCTCTATTCCGCTGGGGTACTATAAACTCAGTATGTTGCACTGATGTTTTGTAAAGAAGTGGAATACATTTCATGTACGGCGTGAAGGCAGGTCGAACATCAGTGCACTTGGAAACTGCATTGGGGTAAGTGAATTTGTGTAGGATGTATTACGTGTCGGACACGCCGGACTCTGCCTGTGACCGTATCAGTGCAAAGCTGGCTCATGAATTCAGTCCCGTGAGAACCTGAGCTTGGCACCGAGCAGGGCGATTTCTCTGTTCAGGAGACCAAGCAGCAAAAGGGAATTAATTCATCCAGGGCCTCGCTGGGTGCAGAGGGGGGAGGACACTTGGCTACTGAAACAAGAGTTCAAAAGCAGCTGATTTTTGGACTAGAACAAATAACAGAGCCCTTCCTTCATGCCTAGCACTGTCCGCACGCTCGGAGCCTAGCCATGCCTGCGAACGGCTGCCCCAGCATGGGAACCCGGCTGCGAGGAGCGGCCACGGGATGCCCTTTGCCAGGCAGAGCCGGAGGACGCTGTGGCGCCTGAGGATAGTGCCGGTGGGGGGGACACGCCGAGGTCCTTTCCTTGCTATTTCACCGAGCAGCAGAGCGCTGGAGCCGAGAGAAACTGCAGCTCAGCGTCCCAAAGGGATGGAGCCTGCTAACTGCATTACAGAAAGGGCATGTTTAAAACAAGGCACCCTTCACTGGCCAGACTGCGTGAGCTTCCTTTTTAATAAAGATCAAAGCCCCAGCTGGTGCGTTACAAATGCATCAGCGGAGGAGAAGCATTTCTCATGCAAAACCTCCTTGCTCCTTCCACGTTCCCCGGGAGCCTTTGGATCACTTGGACCGCAGCCGCATGCTGGCAGCTGACGGATGCGTTTGCTCCGGGGGGGCATCGCTGTATCTGGGGGAGCAGAGATCTGGGGCCACCAGGCTTCCACTAACAAAGATCAGACCTACCGTTGTCTACATAGGACAGGAAAATCCAATTGCGCTAGCTTCAATGTGGCGTTTTCTTGAATGCAATCAGCTTGCAACGCAGCTTTAATCTGGGTAATAAGGCTCTGCAACTCGGTTTTCCTTGCTGTGTCATTACTGACACCGGAATTAGCCCCTGCTTGCACAAAGCGGTGCGTACGCACTCTGATCAAGGTGTCTGCCCCCTGCCTTGGAAAAGCCTCGAGAAGCACAGCCGGGAAGGGGTTAAGTGACATGCCAGAGTTGCTCCTGGCTGTGGCAGCGCTGAGGACTCCTCTGCCTCTGCCTGTGTCACGCTCCAGCGAGAGAGTCCAACTCGGCCGCTCTCTGAGCAGCTTGCCTGGAGCTGCCGAAGGGGCCAGCACAGAGCAATCGCCGTGCCTGGGCTTGGAGCACCCTGGGGTGCTGGGGACCCCGCTCCAGCCCCCACCACCTGCAGGACAAAGCGATGCCTGAGCTGCCCTGGAGCAGGGACTCAGAAATCCTCCCGGAGCTGAGTTTGTCCCGTTGCCTTGGTGCCGGCGCTCGGCTGCCCCCAAGCCGGATCTGTCCCCTCGTCCCAGGACGCAGCTGTCCCCGAAGGCACCTCCTCACCTGTATTCCTCCTCCTTGCCCACGTCGATGGTGCCGTCCGACTCGGTGTCCGACGAACTTTCCTCGCACAGTCGCTTCATCCTCGGAGGTGGCCGGGAAAAAAAGAGAGCTCGCCCGGGTGCGTGTCTGCCTCGCGCGCGGCTCCTCCCCTGCTCGCGCTCTGCCTTTCACACCCCCGGCTTCTCCCTCGCTCTCTTCTCAGCACGTCTCTAACCTCCCTGGTTAATGGGTTAATGAGACATCTCCCAGGAGTGACGGATTACGCGGCCGCGCCGGCGTTCCCAGGTTCCCAGGCCCCCCCGCCTCCTCCCCGCGCGCTGGTCGACATCCCAAGTCTTCCTGTAAAAGGAACAGTCTGTGTGAACCGTCTCCTGTCCCCCTCTGCCCACGGCCCCCCTC